AGCCAAAGCGCAGCTAAGCGAAAAAAGGCCTTGACAGGGGTTAGGAGGCGGGCATAGGAGGAGGGAAGGAAGTAGGGAGTTATGGGTAAGTAGGCTTGGCTATTTAAATAGGCAGCCATTTTAAAGCCTTCACTTTTAATTACTACCTTGCTGAGTTTGTGTGCACTCCTGTGTCCACAGATTTGGTTTGGTGGGGTCTTTGTTTTTCTCTCCTTCTGCAGGGTCGAAGGATAACATGGAGGAGCTGTTGGAGCGGATCCGGTTGGCGGCTCAAGGACGTGGCGTGGACTGGCTGCGGGCGCAACTTGGACCAGCCCTGGCGGGTGCTGCGGATCATGAGGGCGGCGGAGGTCGGCCTGTGCGGGCTCGGAGGCCGCCGAGACGGCTGAGCCCAGGCGCGGAGTCCGGTGGAGACGGTTCCAGCGGCCGGGCGGCGGCGGGACCAGGCCGAAACGGACCCGGTAGCCGCATGGTTGAGGCTCCGCCTCCCGGCGCGTTACCGGGACGTCGGAGAAGCGGTAGCCGGCGGGAGGCTACCCGGGAGTCGGACGGTGCAGCTCCCAGTGCGGGGAGGGCTGCGCCTGGAGCGGGGGCCGCGGGAGACATCGGGCGGCCCCCTGGAACCGGTGAGGACGCGGGATTGCAGCCCGGGAGGGCATCTACTACACCCATGGCGGGGACTGGCGGGGCCGGTGCGGAAGGAGCTCGCGGACCGCCCCTGGAACAGGCAAGTGCAGGGGGTTCCGGCCGGGACCCCCTTGGCGCGAATCAGCGCAGGAGAACTGGGCACAGGGTTCAGAGACCTGGGGGGGACGTGGAGAGGGGTCAGGTGCCTTCTAGAGCGGGGGCAGGGAGGTCTAGGGGGGAGGGTGCGCAGGGTAGTTCCAGGGTAGTGAGCTTGGAGCGAGGGCCAGTAGCCGGGAGGGTGGAAGGGCCAGGGGGTTCGGCAGGGGGAAGTTTGCCATCAGGGGGGGGCAGGAGGTCGAGGTGCGCAGGGCGTTCAGGACAGGTTAGGGGTGCGGGGTCTGGGGACCGGCTGGAGGTACCGAGGGGAGGGGGTGCTTCTAGTCGGGGGGCCCGCCGGGGTGGGGGGTGGGGATTTCCCCGCGCTGGTGAGCAGATAGGTGGGCGTAGTTCTGGGGGGGTTCAGGTTTGGGGTCAGGTGATAGCAGCCCGTCACCGGTTAGGGCCCGGGGGTCCGGGGGGTTTAAGGGAAGGGCTCGGCGTGTTAGGTCCTCATCTAGTAGCTCAGGGGGGGAGAGTGTCATGGCCCCCAGGCTGGTCACACGGGGGCGGGCCTCTGGTAGAAACGGGAGGAGTCGTAGTCCCAGAGGCAGGGCCGATCGGGCCTTGGGTGGGCGAAAAGGAGTGGTTGCGCGACGGGAGGCTCTGGTGTCCAGCGGGCGCTCTCAAGGTCGGGACGGGGGGGCTGCTCATGACCAGTATGCTCTGCCCAGGACTTCTTCTCCTCGTTACAGATCTCGGAGCCGCTCCGCATCTGATGTGGCCGGGCACCGGGTTGGCTCCCCGGTTGGAGGATCGTTAACGGATGTCGCTCATCCTGGTCAGGGGACAGTACACAACGCAGCCCCAGGAGCTTCGGGGTCGAGGGGCTTGGCCGGTGAGTCCTCTGCTTCTCTGCACTCCAGTGCATTGGTTCACACACTTCAAGCACTTCTCCACTCACTGGGAGCGGGGGGTGCCACAAAGGGCGGTGTGGGGCAGGTTTGGGCTCAGGGGGCCGGGGTGGCGGGCCCGAGCGAGGTTCCCTCCGCGGAACAGAGTTCGGGTGGGGACACTGCAGTGACGGTTACTGGGGCGGAGGCGACGAGCGAGCGGGCTGAGTTGACGGGGGGGTGGTTCCTGATGCGGCCAGGCAACACGCATATGTGTCGTTTGCGGGTCCGCTGGGGGTCCACCTCAAACAGGAGGTGAAGGAAAAAATCTGGAAGGGTGACTTCTGCGAGATCTTTTCTCTTCTCCCTTTGGAGGATTTTATTGATCTCAAAGAGGACGATAAAAAAGATGAGAAGAAGGAGGAGGAAGAGAAGAAGAAGCGGTATCGTAAGATTCCCAAGTCTTTCGGTAACTGGCTGAGGGCCTTTTGCGTGTTGGCCAGTGTTCTGGGCGAGAAATCGCCGGGCCTGTGCTCCTCTCTGTTTTGTTATTTGGATGGCATTTGGGAGGCGTATCGCACCTATGGCGGACTGGCATGGTGGCGGTACGACGAGCAATTCCGGCAGCGTTTGGCGGCTAATCCGGGTATGCGGTGGGATCAAATGGACCTGCCTCTCTGGATGAAGCTGATGATGGCGCAAAAAGCGCAGCCATTTCAGCCCACGGCCGGCGCAAAGGGGCAGTCCGCCTCGTCGGCCGCCATGCAAAAGGGCTTCTGCTGGCTCTTTAACGAGGGCCAGTGCAAATGGGGAAACGCCTGTCGCTTTAAGCACGAGTGTTCGGGCTGCGGAGGCGCGCATGGGCTCAACCGGTGCTTCAAAAAAGGGAAGTCGGGGCACACCGGGGTCCCTACCTCGGCTGGGGGGGGAGGGGGAGTTTCGCTTGCCCCGGGGCCTAACCCCGGTGAGGCTAGACGCGATGGAGCCGTGGCTAAGCCGCTACGGTAATAAGGCAGATGCCGTGGCGCTCCGGGTGGGGTTTGGTCAGGGGTTCTTTATCCCTTTCCGGAACCGGGGGGGGACTGGGGTTCGGCGCAACCTTAAATCGGTGGCTGAGTTCCCGGGTGTGGTGCGGGAAAAACTGGGCAAGGAAGTCAAATTGGGGAGGATGGCAGGGCCGTTCCCGGCTCCTCCATTGGAGGGTCTGCGGGTTTCCCCGCTCGGGGTGGTTCCCAAGAAGGAACCGGGCAAATTCAGGCTCATTCACCACCTCTCCTACCCGGAAGGAGAGTCGGTGAATGATGATATTGACAAGGACTTGTGCTCGGTCTCATACGCATCATTCGACAGGGCGGTCGAGCTGGTAAGGAAGGCCGGGCGCGGAGCACTGTTGGCTAAGGTGGATATTGAAGCAGCGTTTCGGCTGCTTCCGGTCCACCCAGCGTGTCATCACTTGCTGGGGTGTTTCTTCAACGGGGGGTACTTTGTGGATTTGTGCCTTCCAATGGGTTGTGCTATCTCCTGCGCCTACTTTGAGAAGTTTAGTACTTTTCTTGAATGGGTGGTCAAAGTTGAGGCGGGGAGTGGGGCTGTGGTACACTACCTGGACGATTTTCTCTGCGTAGGACCGGCGGGCTCCCCCGCCTGCCTACACTTGCTGAGAACGGTCGAGTGGGTGGCTGGCCATTTTGGGGTCCCGCTGGCGGCGGACAAGACAGAAGGGCCGGCTCAGTGCCTTAGTTTTCTGGGGTTGGAGATAGATACGTTGCAAGGGGAGTGTCGGCTGCCGCTGGAGAAGTTGCGGCGGCTGAAGGAGGAGGTGACGACGGCGGCTCAAGCCCGTAAGGTTACGTTGCGGCAGCTGCAGTCGTTGATCGGGATGCTGATCGGGATGCTGAATTTTGCATGCCGGGTGATCCCAATGGGTAGGGTGTTCAGCCGGAGCCTGTCGGCAGCGACGGCAGGGGTGCGATCCCCGCGTCACTTCATTCGGGTGTCGTCGGCCATGAGGGCCGACTTGGCTGTATGGGAGACCTTTTTGCGGGAGTTCAATGGGACGGTGATTTTTAGACAGGAGGGCGTGTCGGCTGCGGAACTGGAGCTGTTCACAGACGCGTCTGGTAGCGTGGGCTTCGGGCTTATTTTGGGGGACGTTGGTGTGCGGAGCGATGGCCGAGGGAGTGGCGACTGAGCCCCCTCATGCGGAACTTGGCTTTCTTGGAGCTGTTCCCGCTGGTCGTTGCATTGGCCCTGTGGGGGGATAGGCTGCGGGACCGGAAGGTGGTCTTTTTCTCGGACAATATGGCCGTGGTGCACGCTGTGAATAACCAATCAGCGGCATCAAAACCCGTGGTTAGGTTGCTACGTCATTTTGTTCTGTTGTGCATGTCGCTAAATGTTGTTTTTCGTGCACGCCATGTGCCTGGGTTCATGAATGATGTAGCTGACGCCCTGTCTCGTTTTCAGTGGTCACGATTCCGGACGGTGGCGCCGGAAGCCCAAGAAGTAGGGCAGGCTTGCCCAGACGAGATTTGGCGGCTCGGGGCGACCTGCTTGGGGGACTGGTGAAGGCTTCGCTGGCGCCGGCCACATGGGCCGCTTACAGTAAGGTCTGGGACTCCTGGGAAAGGTCATGGGAAGGGTTGGACCGCCTGCCGGCAGGGGAATCGCTCAAGGATGCGTTCCTCTGGTACACCTGTCAATTTCTGGCGAAGGGGGCATCCCCGGCGGTGGTTGACAGGTCCATGGCGGCGATGGCTTTCTGGTTCAAGCTACATGGGGAAGAGGACCTTACTAAGTCCTTTGTCATAAGGCAGGCACTGAAGGGGTACCGGCGGGGCCGCAGACGGCCTGACACTCGGCGCCCAGTATCGGTGCGAGTGTTGAGTGACCTGGTCGGTTTATTGCCTGCTATATGTTTCGACAGGTTCGAAGCATCGTTGTTTCGGGCGGCGTTCTGTTGGCCTTCTTTGGAGCCTTTCGGGTAGGGGAGTTGGTCAGTGCCACGAGGACTGCGGCAGGAGGGGTACAGGTGTCGGGGGTCCGAGTGCTGGAAGGGAAGGTGGTTGTACACCTGGCAAGATCCAAGACGGACATGTTAGGCAAGGGCCGAGATGTGACGCTGCGGGCCCTGCCGGGCTCCGCTTTGTGCCCAGTGGCCGCGGTGGCGGGGTACATGGCACGGAGGCCGGGGGTTGGAGGATCGCTGCTGGTACACGCGGACGGGTCTTCCCTCTCCCGGTTCCAGTTCACCAAGGTTTTTCGGTCTGGACTGGGAAAGCTAGGACTGAGGGTGGATACTTTTGGTACACACTCCTTTCGTATTGGGGCGGCTACGGAGGCAGCTCGGTTGGGTCTGGGGGATGACATAGTGAAACGGATTGGGAGATGGGAGTCGGTACGGTTCCGTTCATATGTGCGCTTGGGTTTATTGGAGTAAGATGGTGAAGGGCCTTTGGGGGGATCCCCGGGGGCTGGGTGCATAAGGGGCTGTTATGATCTGTTTTCCTTCTCTCCCCCAGGCCGTGTCGCATGGATCGTGGGCCATTCATTTGTCTTCTGGGCCGAAAGGAGGGCTGCAGCTCGAGCTCAGGGCCACCAGCTGGGCTTTCATCGGGACCAGTTGGCAGTACAGTGGTTCGGGTACAGGGGTTTTTGTTGGGGGGAGGTCTGCGAAAGGGTGTTCCGGATGGTAGCAGGCGGGCAACGGCCGGACCTGCTGGTGCTCCATGCGGGGGGCAACGACTTGGGCCTCACTCCGCAGCGGCGGCTAGTGAAGTGGATGAAGCAGGACCTTAACGGTTTAAGGGACCTACTTCCGGGGGTGATGTTGGTCTGGTCGGAGATTATCCCTAGGAAGCGGTGGCGGCATGCTAGGGACCCGGAGGCTATTGACAGATGTAGGAAGAAAGTGAATAGCTTGATGGCAAGCTTCGTGCGGAAGCTAGGGGGTGTGGTAGTTCGACACAGCGAGTTGGAAGGTGGTTTGCCGGGGTACTACCGCTCGGATGGAGTTCATCTCTCGGCAGTTGGTTGGGATCTGTTGACCCTGGGCTGGCAGGAGGGCATAACTAAGGCTCTTTTTCTTCGGGGTGGCGGAGCTCAGACAGCTTAAGGAGTCAAGGTCTGAGCTTGTGGTGGGATAGGGAGCTGAAGGAGAAGAAATAGGCTCCCTAGGATGAACGTCATGGAGACGTAAAACTGTGGTCATTGGTGGTTGGTAGGTTCCGAGTCCTGTCGGTGGCTCAGAATCTGGTGGGGCAGGGGTATCCGGGTATACCCCTGCCATGGTTAATTTATGTTTGGCACTTTAAGTTGGTATGTTGGAATATGTTGATACGTATGTTATATGTGTATATGTATATATGTTATTTATATGGGGGTCATTGCCTGTTATATTAACAGAAGGATTCGGTTACGAGGGCGGAGTATGGGGGCAATGACCCATGTTTATTGTTAAAATTATTATTGCTTAATAAATTATTATTATTCAAGATTGGTTAAATAAAGCTGTGGACAAATTTTCCCATATACCTTGTGTCAGTGAGTTATTGGGTTGGGTATGTGGGAGGGTTGTCCTGGAGTCCGACTGCCCATATGGCGACTATACACCGGTCATGTAGCCCCATGTAGCCAAAGCGCAGCTAAGCGAAAAAAGGCCTTGACAGGGGTTAGGAGGCGGCATAGGAGGAGGGAAGGAAGTAGGGAGTTATGGGTAAGTAGGCTTGGCTATTTAAATAGGCAGCCATTTTAAAGCCTTCACTTTTAATTACTACCTTGCTGAGTTTGTCCCGCCCACCCTCCCTGAATTTGGTTCGGACTTGGGTTATCCCGTTTTTTCACAGCGGCGGGATAGGGAGCTGAAGGAGAAGAAATAGGCTCCCTAGGATGAACGTCATGGAGACGTAAAACTGTGGTCATTGGTGGTTGGTAGGTTCCGAGTCCTGTCGGTGGCTCAGAATCTGGTGGGGCAGGGGTATCCGGGTATACCCCTGCTATGGTTAATTTATGTTTGGCACTTTAAGTTGGTATGTTGGAATATGTTGATACGTATGTTATATGTTATATGTATATGTATATATGTTATTTATATGGGGGTCATTGCCTGTTATATTAACAGAAGGATTCGGTTACGAGGGCGGAGTATGGGGCAATGACCCATGTTTATTGTTAAAATTATTATTGCTTAATAAATTATTATTATTCAAGATTGGTTAAATAAAGCTGTGGACAAATTTTCCCATATACCTTTGTGTCAGTGAGTTATTGGGTTGGGTATGTGGGAGGGTTGTCCTGGAGTCCGACTGCCCATATGGCGACTATACACCGGTCATGGACTCTGGAGAATAATGCAGTAAATATAACATCATCTCAATGTATTTTTTTCCAACCTGGAAATACATGTTATTAGAGATTCATTTTTAAACCAGTTTAGACTATGTTTGCTAATCTTGTTTGCATTTTGCCATTCCACAACTAGTTTACAAAAGCCCTTGGAAATATGGTAGTGGTGGAATATGCTGCAGTTATATTATGATAATCATTGAAGCTATCATTGACTTTGTATTTTGTTTCATATTGATGTAATCGTTGCTATTATGAATTCAAAGAATGTGGTCATTGCTCTCTGGCAGGGATTCAGTTTTCAGAAGTTGTTTGTGTAGAGGGCTTTCATTGCTCCAGCCAGTTCTATAATATTTTGACTCTAATAGTGCTGAAGTCATAATCTTCACTTACAGTATCCCTGGACTCTTGCTCATAGCCTAACTTGACCCCCTTTTGGATTTGCCCTGGTTTTTGCTCTGGTGCATCCTGGGCTCCTACCTCCCTAACCTGACACCTAAGTTTTTTTTCTTAAACAAAGTCTTTCCTTCACTTTAATAATTTTGTAACACACATCTGCAGCTTCCATTATACTCCCCATTAAAGAATAATGACCATAAATTGCACTTTATACTGAAGATGAAGTCTTAGAAGTTTAGAAAGACATGCTTTACTGTATTTTACAGTTGCTGACTCTCATTAAACAATCTTTCTAAACCAATGCTTTTTAGAGAATAGAGAATTTTGTTTCTTGTCCCAAAATTCAAAACGCTTATTTACAAAGAATCCTATCTACAACTTGCCTACCCTATAATTGATCCAAATTCCTCTTTAGGGGTGTAATATTCCACTTCCACTTAGACTATATTACCCTCAACTAGTTTTGTTTCATCTACAAGTCACTGGTGTGTTTTTAGCCCCCTGCAAGATCATTAATAGATTAAAAAGAACCACAAGACAGAACCCCAAGATAATCAACTTACTACTTTGGTCAAATTTGCTAAAATGCTAAAAAAAATCTATCAATTTTTAATCCAATATCAAGCATTATCCTCTAAACTAATTATTTTTAATTTGTATGTATTTATATATATATATATATATATATATATATATATATATATATATATATATATATATATATATATATATATATATGTATATATATATATATATATATATAGAGAGAGAGAGATATTTTATTTATTTATTTATTTTAATTTGTACAATACCTGTGTGGAACTGTATCCAATGCTTTAGCAAAATCATAGTAAGTCACATATTCTGCAACACCCTGATCTAAACATCTATTTGCTTCTTCATGTAATGCAATTATATTAAATTGACATAATCTATCCTTGATAAAACCATAGTGATTCCAGCTAATGAATGAAGTAACTATAGATGAATGCATTATTAATCTTTTTTTTTAATGTGTACCTGTTAAGTCATTTCTTTGTTGTTACAATTATATGCAAAGGCATCTTTATCTCCTTTATTTAAGACTTTAATAAATTATTGTTAAATTGTGTGATATTCTAGAGAGCCTATTCATCAAAATGTTCAATTGCATAAATGGGAGATATTGAATAGAAGAGCATCTCTTCCAACAATCTCGACATTAACTAGTAAACCCCTCATTTAATGGTAACCTGAATAATGAGCCTAAAAGGGAAGCATAGAGGACGCTAAATACAGACTGTATGATGCTGAATAGGAAGGTACTTTAAAAATACTTAATGGGTGCCAAAAGATAGCTCTGTGAAAAAAGGATAATTGCAAATATGTAGGGCTAGAGCTTTGTGGACACAATTGTAGGCCCATGAAACAAATTCTGGGAGGATATTACATTCTTTATCCCAATGCAATAAGGAATCCCAGTTTTTAAAGGGACACTATAGTCACCAACACCACTGTGGCGAAAGTTACCTCGCCACTTATACTTGGAGAGGCCTGCTTGCCAGCCTCTTGCCCTGTGACTATGGCCCCTGGGATATATTGCCCTTTAAAAGCATTATTTGGGCATATTGGTGTCAGGGTACCTGTTGGTGATGTATCCAGGGAGGACATCCTCTCTGCTTAGGGGCTCCCTTCCCCTAGCATTTCGGCATATTTCGGCCGTTTTCGCGCCGGCCGCGCTAGCTCCTCCCCCTTTTATGACGCGACGGCTAGCGTCGACGTCATGACGTCGGCATTTGCATAAAGTGCCGGGAACCGCTATTCCGGACCTTTTGGGGGCGTGGTCTCTATTTAGGTAACAGGGTATTTAAAGGAAACCTTTACTACTGCTCATTGCCCTGTCGTGGTTCTAGCTTGCTAGTCACTCAGCGCGTTCTTTATCTTGTGTTTCCGGTTTTGACCCTTGCTTGTCTTTTGTCCTGTTGTCCTCTCCTCTCCTTTGACTCGGCTTGTATCTCGCTTACCTGTCCTCCGGCTCCCTTGACCTCGGCTTACCTTTTGACTATTCTTGCTTTGTCCTTACGTTAGTCCGGCCATTCTAAGGTCCGGTATACGTACCTCCTTCTGTGCGCACTCTGCGTATTGGATCCCTGTCAGTTTCCTGACATTACGACAGGGCCATGATGGATCCTGCAGGTGCTAGTCCTCCTGACCCCAGATTTGAGGCCATGGACCATAGAATGGACCAAATGGCTTTAGCGTTACAAACTTTGTTGACACGCTCCAGTACCCAGTCTGAAGAAATACGTTCCACTGCTAGCCACTCGCTAAGTACTGGTTTGGAAGTAGCCACTGTAGGCGCATCTTCCCATGTCACGTCACCATTACGATATGGGGGTTCGCCTGATGCTTGTCGTGGTTTTTTAAACCAGATAAGTATACATTTCGAACTACAACCCCGGGCTTACCCCACTGACAGGGCTAAGGTAGGCTTTATTATAACCCTGCTAATAGATAAAGCACTTAGATGGGCCAATCCCCTTTGGGAGAATGACAATCCTTTAGTCTACAACTACACTGCGTTTGTCACGGCTTTTAGAAGAACCTTTGACCCCCCAGGGAGGAAGATTAATGCGGCCAGATCCCTGTTACGCCTTAAACAACAAGATAGGACCCTTGTAGAATATGCTCTAGAGTTTAGATCATTGGCAGCAGAAGTGAAATGGAACGAACAAGCTTTTATGGATGTTTTCTTGAATGGGTTGTCTGATGAAATTCTAGATGAAATTGCCACAAGAGAACTTCCGGAAAATTTAGAGGATTTAGTATCCTTCATTTCCAGAATAGATGAACGCATGAGACAGAGGCAGAACACTCGGGAA